TCATTGCATTGATTAATTTCTCACGCGTCGCTGCTTTTGGAAAATTGGGTGAAGGGCGGTTTGAAGTTACTCACTTGGAAAACTTTAAGACTTATTAGAAAAAAATTGGTTTCCAGAGAACAATCTATTAAGCCAGGTTCTCATTTCACTCTTTCTCTATTTTGTATTTCAGCACTCTTTTGGTCACTCTTTCTCTCCCTCCCACTCCTTTTTCTCCCGTTTCTTTATTGTGTTTTTTTTTTTTTTGGCTGCTGCGAAGTGCACGTAGCAAAAGTCCGAAACAAAATGAGTAAGGCCAAAAAACGAGGCAAAACGAAATGCAATTGGGGAGAATTAAGAGAGAGCGAGAGAGAATGCAAAGATGATCGGTAAACAAACAACAAAAATTTGAATTTTATATGCAGTCAAAAAAAAAAAAACAAGTCACGCGGCTTAACAACCAGTGTTGCCAATTAACGTTGGCCAAAAAGATAAAAATCAAAAAGAGATCATGTATAATATGATCATATTTAAAATGCATATCAAATATTCCGTATCCAGTAAAGTTGCTTACCAATTCTAGAGAAATGCTTATCCACTGTTTTTAACATTTACATGAGAAGGTTGGCTAAATGAAGGGTTAAAAACATTGGGCGCCATTCAAAATCGTCCAGCGTAACAAGTGTTATTTTGATCTGGTGGCAACACTGGGAAATTTGAAAGCAACGTTTTCCCCATTACGTAATGATCTTCTCTCGCTTAGCCACTCTCTCGCTCTCCCCTTTTCTCTTTCCCCATCTCTCTCTTTCTCTTTCTCTCTACGCGCTTAACTAGTCAAGCATAACACACAAACAACAACTCGTTTTGGTTAATTAACATAAAAAACGGTACAAAAACAACAAAGCGCCGCACACTTGTTGCACCCAAAAAAGCAGAGAGAAAAATAAATAAGGTAACGAAAAATGAAAAGCCGACGCCTGAACAAATACAAAAGAGAATTTTCAGAGAGCCAGTTAATCGGAGAAAGAGATGGAGAGCAGGCGAAAGAAGGAGGGGGAGTTCCTTTCCTTTTATCGCAAAATTTCAAGTTCGCAGTCAGCTAAAAAAAACTGCAAGAAAATTGCAAATATAAGCAACCGCTTTCAGATACAGTACAGCTTGCTCAGCAGATAACAAATTGTTAATTCAAATAATTTGGAACTATTATTCAATATTAGATGGGGCTCTTAAAACCTAAAATTAAATTCTTTTCTTTTTAAAACTAATTATTTTTTTGGAAAGAACATTAAGTACTTGTTATACATTGGCTCCCAAACTAAATTTTTTAATAAATTTAGATAACAAATATGTGAATTTAAAAACAGTTTAGGTTATTTAAAAAAAGGTAACGAAACAAATGATATTTCGCGTTTGCCAGCGATCTCTGTGTTTAGATAGTATTCGGTCTGCGCCCTTCTGTTTTTGTGAATAAATAAATACAAATATAACGAACGCTTGGGCGGTAAACAGACGCAACGATGACGTCAGGCGCTTTCGGTGTCTCGCGCGCATTTCGCCTTTGTGTTCGTTGCAAATTTTGTGTATTCAATGTCAAAATCCATGGCCCGAAACACGGCCAAAAGCCATTCCCAATCCAAATCCAAAAAAAAAAAACCCAGCCAGACAATTGTGGGTGCGCGTAGGGATGGAAAAACTTAGTCGACTAAATCACGAGACTCCAGAATTGCAGTTATCTAAATTGCATAATTTCGTTATTAAGTTTATATTTAAGTTCGTAACCGATCATCAAATACATTGTCGGAGTTATACTTGTTGTAGTTAATTACCCGATTAATAATCAGTACATTGTTTCAAGCTCAAAACATGATTATTTAATTGACAAATGATTATTATACCAGTTAGACTTCGAACCGAAACATTTCTAACGATTGAATTGTCGTAATTTAGTGTAGATCATTAAGCAATAAAAACCAGTCTGTTATTGTGATTTGAATTCATGATCCAATCAATGATTCATTTGTTGATCTTTAACATCCTCACGCAACCATCTTTAGATGCAAACTTTGAGTGCCTTTTTTTTACCTGGCCAAAAGCGATAACGAAAGGAGGTTGGCTAAGGAGGAGAAGATACTAACCAAAATGGCAACATTGGTGGCTAAAACCGGTTTTATTTTCGTATTCCACATTTTAAGTTTTATTTATATGATTTTGTGAGCGCATCACAAATATGCAAACGTAGAAAAATACGTTTCCAGCCAAATACGAAAGTGCTAATTGTTGAGCTAATGGAGAAAGAGTTGACCATTTTCCAAACTATAAATCAAATAATGAATGGCCGGGCCACAAATCCGAGTGCCAGAAAGAGAGGAGTGTAAACAAAAAGGCGGACAGCATCCGTTGCCAATGGCAGTGTGTGGGTGCAAGCGAGACGGTCGTTAGCCTAGTTATGCCAGATGCCAGTAATGGGTATCAAAGGTGGCTCGGTTTTCTTAAATATTAGTGAAATATCCACAAGACAGATATCAATAAAAATATATCTGATTACTGATGATCATCATAAGGTTTAAAAACTATATTGAGAAGTCATTAGGATTTTCGATTATAACGTCAACACTATGTTCATCATAAAGGTTTAGGGAAGAGTTATAAATTTTAAAATTACTTTTTATTAGGTATGTCGCAGTCCGATCAAGTGCGGCATGCAAATTTCTATGCCTGTTTGTTGGACTCGATCGACTCTTAGCAACTTGTTTCGGCTTATTGAACAGCATTCATTTGAGAAATGAAGAAGCTGACAACTTTGTCGCTTTCTCAGTGCCACACAAAAACCGTTACAAATTGACCGGGGAATGTGAGAAAAGAGGAAGATGCCGATAAAGGGGGCACTCGGAAAAATGTATGATCATTTGAGACCTATTATTTAAGGTTCACACTACCTAATTTGACATTTAAATGCCTATTAGAGCTTTGGTTACAATTTGAATAAATTAGTTTAAAAAAAAGTTATAAAATATATAATAAATATGCAAGTGATCTTGCAGTCTTCGCAGCCCTTTTCCTCTGTGCAGATGCTAGACGGATCGGCTGAGTCACAGATTATATGCTGAGACCCTGACAGCGCATGACAAATCACAAAAGAAAGCAGTCAGCAACAGGCTGAAAAACCGCCTGAAAATGCCCCGGTTCAATAATAATAAATAATAATATACGAGGGAAGTGGAAGAGCGGGAAATTCTAACAGCTCTTCGAACCCGTATTAAAAACGGGCCACCAAACAGCTTCGATAGCGATGAGTTTGTTTCTTAAGTTGGCTATAAAACCACAGTAGTGATTCTGTTCTCGTAAATTTTCTATCGTATTTGACTAAGATTTCATATAAAAAAACAAGCAATAAACTTATATACTTTAAACTTAAACCATTTCTTTTAGATATTAAAAATAAAATGTTAGTCAAAATATTCAGGCTATTTTCCATCGCCACTGCCGATCGCCAGTTAATCTGGTTGGGAGACAAGCGCCTCACGCAATTCCAACTGGAAGTGCGATATTCTAACTGGAAAATTCGACTTCATGCTAATGGGATAAATGTTACAACAACCGGGAGGCGAGTGCGAAAGGGACAGAGCAAAGGGGTGGAGGCAAAGGCGAGACAAAGGTGAAAAACTTTGGAAAAACGGTGGTTGGAGTGGCGGCTGCAATTTTCACACGCTTTGGCCGCGCACACACTCACACCTAATGATTTTTGAGCAGCTGCCCAAAATTAAAAATTCACTCCAAAATTCTACCGCTATCCCGCTCTAATGCCGATTTACTTTTAACTGACTTTCAAGAAGCTTTATGTGCGTGCGAGGGTAAGAGAAGATGTTGTTTTGAAATACTCCTTATTTATTTGTAATTTTGTATGACTTTGTTGTATTGCCATTTAATTTTCAGAGTGGCTATTGTTTTAGCTTTTTTTAATGCCGGTTAATGACTCACACTCCAGTCGCTTTATCTCTCTCTTTCGCACGCATTTGCCACATACCGGTATTTCAGCATTTGCTTTATACTCTTTCTTCGTTTGTTTCACATTTCTTTCTTAATATTTAGTAATACAAAAAATAAAAAACAGTTAAATACGCAAAACTCACTCGCACACATGCAAGGCACTTATTGTTTTTGCTTGCCGGCAAAAGAAAAACTTATTGTTTTTCTGGATTTTTTTAGTTGTATTTATTCCTTGTTGATTTTTTTGCACGCACACGTTAAAAAAATTGAGCTCTCGTCGCTAAGAAAAACGCAACACGAATAAAAAAAGCGGACAATAAAAACCGTTTTTTTTCAACGCTCAACTTTTGCCGGTGTGTGAAAGTATGCGTGTGTGTGTGAAAGAGAGCCGCGTGCCTTTGTGTGTGTGTGCGCTTGTTGCGCTTTTTTCTAGTGCCTTGGAATTTCGTACTTTTATTTCGGTATAAACTTACATTTCGATTGGTTTCCAATTGCCGCGTGTTTCTTTGTTCTTTCCTCTGCTTTCTTTGTTTTCCTGTTGTTTCACAAACGAAAGGAAAAATCAAATAAACGCAAAAAAAGAGCGAAAACGAAAAACAAAAACTGTTGGGGTAAGTGTGACCGCCTTAAAACCTGTGAAATATACCAGGAGCTGGCGATAATGTACTAAATTGCACCACTAAAAGGAAAGGCCACCTATGTGGGATGTTGTCTTCAGTATCCGGGTTTAGCTAAGGTTCCAACCCAGAAATGGAGATCAGCGCGTGAGGAAACTATCGAATACTTCTTGTTCTTAAATATTTATTAATAAAATTGAAACTATAACTATACTTAATAATATATATAAAAGCTTTGTTAAAGAAATGTTTGTAATCTATATTTATATAGTTGAGAACAAATAAAATAAAAATGTAATATAAATGTCAACTTTATTCACCACAAGTAATATTTTAATCAACAGAGAAAGAGAATTGCTTAAATCTAATTTAGATCTCTTCTACCTCCTATTTGACCCACAAAGAGGAACAACTAAATTTAGAAAAGAAACAATTTATTCAGCTTAATCCAATGGTAAACAGAAAATAAAAAACGTCGGCATTTGATGCACGCTAATTTTGTACTCATTCGGAGGTCAATTGAAAAAAGCCATGGGTTTTAGTCTTTTTTGTTTGATTTTAAAGAAATAATTACATTTCCTGTGAATTTTCTAGGATTGCAGATTATCTCAGATGATCTTAGAAGAATTAAGACAACAGTTACTTTCTTTTTAATACAAATAATAGTTTTTTAGTCTACCACTCAAATGAGAACAATATTCACAGGTTTAAAGATCTTCATTTTGCAGTTAAACATATGAAAATAATGGATCTAAGAGTTAGGAATCATAAAACTACGAATCCTGATTTTAATGAGCTTATGTGAAATAATGTCTTGGACTATAAATGATAGAGCTGCAGAATCCAACAAATTTCAGGCTTTAACAACTCCGTTTCGGAGTAATAAATATACAAATGATAGTACAGAGTATCAATCCATGGTGCTATGAGCTTGGGGTTTAAGATAGAGCTACCAAATCCAACCGAATCCTAGGGTTACGCGTCTTAATTGTTATTCTCGAGGGCGGCGATCCGCTCGCGCTCCTTTAAAAGTCGCTCGCGGCTGTCCTGCGGATTGAGCAGGACCTTCACCAGGTGCTCCACCGTCGGCCGCTCGGCGGTGCAGTAGACCTTCAGGCCCACGGATTCGAGGGCACGCCGGGTGCTCGGCCCGATGGCCACCAGCTTCCACTTGTCCATCGACAGCTGGCGACTGGTGAAGTACTGCTGGGCACAGTTGACGCCCGAGGGCGAGAAGAAGGCGAGGAACTCGATGGACTCGCCGTAGATCTCCAGCGAACGCTCCACATTCGCACCCAGCTCCGGATGGCAGCGCGTCTCGTAGACTTCGCAGGCATCGACGGAGAAGCCGTTCTCGGCCAGTTTCGAGAGCAGCGTATCGGTGGCCAAGTTGCCGCAGGGCAGCAGCAGCGGCAAGTCCCGCGAACCGTCGAAGGTGTCCACGATGAAGTCGCCCAGGGCACGGGCATTGCCCGTCTGTTTGCCGTGGGTGAAGAGCTGGTCCAAGGTGCTCAGCGCCAGATTGTGGGTCACCTCGCCGACGGCGTAGTTATGCAACATCTTCCAACCGCCGGGCAGCTCGCCGAGGTTCAGGGACTCCGCCACAGCTTCCACGCAGCGTGGTGATGTGAATATAATGCCGGCATATTTGTCCGGTGTCTGGAGCTTCTTGCGCAGCTCGTCCAGATTTTTGAAGCCAAAACTCAGCGTGGGCACGAATACGGGATTGAAATCGTGCTTCTCCAGCGTTTCCGCGTACACATCGCTGCTGTCCGACTCCGATTTGAATATGATCACCGTTCGCTGGCGACTCGTCATCGTTTTTTGCGGTTTAGTTTTGGTTTCGCCTGTTTTCCCCAGCCGATTTTCAGCTCACTTTCGGCGCTGACGGAATGCTGTGACTTAGTTTTGTTTTCCGTGCTTTTCTATGCCTCTTTACTTGCCCCGCCCACCGCCGCAGCTGTTGCAGCGCCTCCTTTTCCGCGCCAGTGAACAAAAATAAGCGATATTTACTTTTAGATTTCTGCTTATTTCGTGTTGCACTCTTGCACCCTGTTGCTGTCTCTGTCTAATCAGCTGGTTCGCCGGCAACAAGAGGGCTGCCAGATCGCTCACCTTTAACACAGTGGTAACACTAGAACCCATGTTTATTCGATACTATCGGAATTACAGTCGTGAGACATTGCCAACCGGTAAGCAACCATCGAAAGTTCCGTCGCAATAAAAATTGTGCTGCACGTGTTCGAATTGTAGTAAATCTACTCTCGGGTTTTTTTTTGTGATTTAAGTATAAGTTTTAAAAACCCAGCGACACCATGCAGCACGACGACGTGAGTTGGTGGTTATACGAAAACAGGGTGGCAGTAATATCACAATCTATTTGTTTTTTTTTAGGTGGTTTGGTCCATCATTAACAAGTCCTTTTGCTCCCACAAAGTCAAGTAAGTTTCTGAAATGTCTTAAGAAGTAGATTGTTTTTACACCGCTTAACACACACACACAGAACTGACACTCGTACCTTCTGCCGCCATGAGTACAATCTCACTGGTCTGTGCACCCGTCGCACTTGTCCACTGGCCAATTCGCAATATGCCACCGTCCGCGAGGAGAAAGGCATCATCTATTTGTTCATAAAAACCGCTGAGAGAGCTCACATGCCCAGCAAACTGTGGGAGAGGATCAAGCTGTCCCGTAACTTCGAGAAGGCCGTGCAACAAATCAACGAAAACTTAGTTTTCTGGCCCAAATACATGATTGCCAAAAACAAGCAGCGCTTCTTGAAGATCACTCAATACCTAATGCGTATGAGGCGTTTGAAGTTGCGCCGCCAGAAGCTGATTGTGCCGCTGTCGACGAAGATCGAACGGCGTGAGGCGCGTCGCGAGGAGAAGGCTCTGGTGGCCGCCAAGATCGACAATCACATTGAGAAGGCGCTGATGGATCGCCTCAAGCACGGCACTTATCGCGACATCTACAACTTCTCACAGACCGCCTTTAACAAAGCTCTCGAGGCGGAACGCGTGGACGAGGACGAAGACGAGGAGGAGGAGGAGGATGAGGATGAGCAGGAAGTGGAGCGCGAAATGGAGGTGGATGACGCGGATGAACGCGAAACCAATTATGTGGAGAGATCCCTGCTCGATGAGGAGTTCGTGGAGGCGGACACAGATGATGAGGAGCAGGAGGACGAGGATGAGGATACAGAGGAGGAGGACTACGAGAGCGATTCCGGAAAGCGCGAGGAAGTCGAAGTGGGCAGCGACTTTGAACAGTCCGACGAGGATGGTGATCCAGATGATATTGAGGTAAACCCACTGGTCATTTATACAGATTTTTGGCAATTTTTCGGGGCTACAACAAAAAAACATTTAGAATTTTGATAGAAACTTTTGACAGTTGTTCATGTAAAGTAAATTAATATTATTTCGATATTCTTTTTTAAAATTATTTCCTGCAAGCCATTTTTAAAGTAAAAACCTACAGTTTTCAGACGAACACCCTATAATTCTTTTTTAATAAGACCCAAATAGTAATTACAACTTGAGAACATAAAATTTTTGAAAATCCTGCCTGCGAAAAAACCCCACTAAATTACCATAATTAGCAATCGCAAACGAGTTCTAACCGCGAGCTTAGAATACTGAGTTTGCTGAGAAAGCTTTCGAGCGCTCGCCGCTTTTCATTCAGTTGCGGTTTTCATTCAGTGCGCGTAAAGTTGTAGCTCCACAAAACTGCCAAAAACACTCGTTAATCCCTTTCTAAGTAACCGAACTAAACAAGCAATTAAATCGCAAACAGGACATACAAGTGCCATACAAGAGATCCGCCAGCAAGGCGAAGAAGGTCAAGAAGTCACCGGCAACCACCAGTCGTCGCGGTCGCTCGAAACCGAAATTGGAGCTGGAGTACGAATATGAGGTGGAGAATGAGGCACAGCGGCAGATGCGCCATTAGCCAGGTCCACACACACTCAATATTCCCCGATCCACCCAGCCTCGCTTATTAGTTGTTAACGCTTATTCTTAAGCCAACTAAATGTGTAAAGCCGTTTAGAAGTAGTATTTTATAAATGACGTTGAGATACGAAACCGAACTCTGAATATTGTGTGTTGAGTGTTCTCCCCGAAATGGAACGATGCATCCCACAATCTGTGATGCTTCCATCTCGCTCGATTTGCCTTCTGGCCAAAAACGTGCTAACTGACATTGAAAGTGCGTGAGATGATGAGAGGGTTAAGACTCCGGGGGTTAAGCGGCGGCGCTGCAATATAAAAACCAGTTTGCAAAATTATTCTATAAAAACTATAAACAATTTATGCCAGAGCTACAGTTTTTGCACACCCTGTAAAAATAGTGAAGTTGTGGGGATAATTTGTTGGGTGAAAAACAAATTTTAAGAATGTTTATAGCATCATGGGTTTGTTAGTTTTATTTTGTAAAATATTCTTTAACTTAAATGTAATCCTTTTTTGTATTGCTCTTAAAACTAATAATTGACAAACATTTAAAAGTCTTCGATAAAAAGCAGGCAACTGAACATAATTTCTAAACTAGTTTTGGAATTTGGAAATTTTAAATGTTATTTTTTATATTTTTAAAGAGTTTTAGCTTTATAAAAACACTATATTTATCACAACATCAATTGCTAGAAAAGTATGCAATAATTTATGGTTCTATTTGTGTTTGGTATAGAAATCCAAAGTTATTCATAATTAGTTTCCGTTTACAACTAATTATAGCATATATATGTGGTCGATACACCCAGGTGGTTCGTTCTGCCGACGATTACTATGTATATTAAACGAAATGCTGTCGCGGGGCTAATTAAATATCGCACGCCAAGTTCAATGCAGCGCAGCCAAGCGATTCCGCCGCCCAACCCAAGATCGTATCGGATCGTATGAGATTCTAGAGCCTCCCAACGCAAGGTCATTCCGCATCTGCGACCAAAGGTTCTGTTTTGTTTAAACTGCCCATAAACAAAAAACAAAAAAAAAAGGGGAGAAAACAAATGTAAAATGCGAGAAACCCACAGGTGTCGGTGGGCGTGGGCAATCGGGGTTTATCACCCGACAGTTGGCGAAACAAATCTTGAAAACCTTTCAGTTTTGTTTAGTTTCATCCGTGATTGCCGTCGAGTACTATTGACTTTTAGTTGGAGATGCTAAATAAGTAGAAATATTGATTGTTAAATGACTGCGACCTTTTCATTCGAATTTTACTGATAAACTTTTCTTTTGGGAGTAGTTACATTGGGAACTCTTTTGTATTTTCGATTTCTTACGGATAAGCATTTTCTGAATTTCAAAATACTTTAAAAAGGCTGTTCTTTGTGTTGAAAGTGTTATCATAAAAAAGAAGCAAGTGTTCATTAGATTAAAAACCCATAATTGAGTGTTTAGGAACCATATTCTACAGGAAACAGATTTCTTTATCAAAGTTAAGGATCTGTTTTATAAGGAATTCTACTATAATAGTTATTTCATATATTTTTAAAGGAAATATAATGTTCTTCACATTTTCCTGACAAAACCAGACACGTTTTTCTTTTATTATTCGACAGACTGTGGACTAAAACTAGCATAGGAAACATGAAAAAACGCTTTATCCTCAATCAATGGACTTGATCGCATCATTCAAAACACATAGTTCTTAGTTGGGTGTATATACATTATATTAGTACGTGTAAAGTAAGTTTTCCATTTCTAAGTTAAACAGTTTCTCGTTCTCTTTGTGTTTCGCATTGTTTTCTGCTGTCAACTGTTGGTGTGTTATGTGTGTTTAGTGTGTGTAGTTAGCAGCAGAGGTTCTCCCCGTTCGAGGTGCTCGCCATCGTCGAGTTTCATTGGTGTTGTTGGTCAATGCGTCCCCCATAGTTTCCATCCATTTGGGGTTTTTGGTATTTCTTGATTCCTTGACTTTAGGCGTTGGGACTGAAGGCTGCCTGGCGTAGCAGCACGTAGATCTTCTCCTTGATCCAGTCCTTGTTGTAGGGGGCATAGGTGTTGGTGCTCTTCTGGTAAACCATGCAGCTGATGTCCATCAGAGTGTCGATGAAGTCGAACAGCTGGCTGATGTCGTAGGTGATGGTTGGCGTGTTCGGATTGCGGCGCTTCAGGTGCTCCTCGTAGATCTTGCACACGCCCTCCATGCATTCGTTAACGCTCTCGTAGTCGCAATAAGTACGCGTCTCCGGTCGTGCTCCCGGCTGAACCAATAGAATAGTATGCGACATGTCGATCTGCAATACAAAAAAACACCAATTAATCATTGGGTTTAGGAATAATACTAGGAACTACCATGATTCTTTTTAAATCCCTAAGCTTGCAGACTGCAATCCAATGTGGCTCAAGAACGACTGAAAAGTTCAGTAATTTCCGGAGCTACCATCAGTTGGCACAAACTTAAACAAATTTCCCAGGGGCTTTATGCTATGAACTGATTTCAACTATTTGTTTACAATTCAGTTCCAATTACTACCCAAGAAATGCCACCTTCAACTTGTTTCTAGGCAATTTTCTCCTTTGTTTAGAAATTAAACAATATTCGTCAACATTTTTTCTGTCGAATGAAAATATCCTTTTCGCTAGGTTAACATTAATTGAAATTCCTGGGTTTTAGATAAAGGATAAGTACAAATTAATATGCAAACTAATACTTTTTTTTTTAGCCACAACGCTATTTATCTTTAAACATGTTCATATCTTCAAAAAGATCTTAATAATATCTGAATAACAGGTAAGAATCATGTTTCTCAACGCTATTTATATAAAATATGCAATCAATTACCTTTTTAATGCAGAAACTTGAAGTCCTATGAATTCCGAGACTTTTAAAGTATTTTGATTATTCGCCAAGCCTGGAAAATACGATTAAACTGCAATTAATCATTTAAAGCACAAAAATTAAACAATCGAGATAAAGACATTCTGCATTCCGATTGCGTTATCTCGCTCGCACTCGCAGCAGCCCCCAATACACGCACATACATGTGCGGACCAATTGCTCTTTTCTTTTCCAATTTGCAGCGGCTGAAATGCAACAACCGGCTTCTAAATATAAAAATGCACCAATTAAAGTTGGGAAAAGCATCTTTTTCACGGTTAATTCATATATTTGCATATTTATTGGCTTGTTTTTGCCGCTTTTATGAAACACAAACATTCAGACGCTCACACACACAACGCAGCGACCGCCGCGTGTGTGTAACTAACTGTATGCGTCCAAGCAAATTGTTTTTTCTTCTTTTCGCCGATTTTCCAAGATATTTACGAAAAGTTTGAGGCCCTTGTCAAATGTATTACTCACCCGGTCAGTTTGCAGACTAGTTTATATTGCTGTATGTTGATTCGAGACGTCGATTCGGCAAATCCAACGGTAGCTTCGTTTTTTTATTTTTTTGCCAGCTTCTATTCACCCAGTGCTGGAAAAGTACACAGTGGCAGTGTTGAAAGGCGAGTGGTGCGGCTAAAGATGGTCGTTTGACTATTGTAATTAATTAATCGGAGTATAACAACCATTTTTGGTATGCAGAATATTTTATTTGAGTTCCTAATGTTAAGTATTCTCTTAAATTGAATAATTCGTATGTTATTACTTACGCCATTTAATTCCAATTATTTAAATCATTCGATTATTTTAAGATGATAAAATATTTAAAAAATTTCCAAAATGGTTTTCATAAAACCCTTTTATGGTGTGTTTGTCTAAAAAAAGTGCATATCCTTATTTATCATTAAACATTTTAGTTATAATATTAAAGTGATAAAATCTATATATAAATACATTGAAATAAACAGCGGCCCCAAGTGGTGATTGCAAAAATCATCTGCTACTGAAATGGTTTCCACAAAACCGCTCTATGTGTCTTTTTTTTTAAATAAGTGCATATGCTAATTTTTCATGATGCATTGTACTTTCTATTTTTTAATAGTAAAAAAATATATACACATTTATACACTGAAATACACAGCGGCCTAAAATAGTGATTGCAAAAATTACCTGTTACTATCGCCCACCACTAACTCTTGTATCGGGCGTTGCCAGACCGCGAGAAACGGCGATCCAAATGGCCACCAGCTGTTTGATCCCAAATTGGACCAATTGGAAGAGCGCGCGGCGCGGGCAGCGCAGTTGAGCGGCGGCAGCGCGATCGGCAAAGAAAGCAACAACAAAAAAGCACAATCTCGTCTCAATTTTATTTACGTGCTTTTTGTTTTAGTGAAAAGTGAAGGCGCAGCCGCAGCAGCCCGTATTTTCGCGTTCCTATTAATTTGTTGTTATATTCAATTGTGCAAGTGCCGTTCGCGTTTTTTTTTTGCTGTGTGTCCCAATTGAAAGAAAATTAAGAAAAATAAGCAAGTGAAGAAATAACAACGTAAACAAGTCAAGACATGAATTAAATAAAAAGATGAATTAAAACGAATTATATTTAACAAATACGACATAAAATCAAAAACATAATGAAGAAAACAGAAAGAAATACGAAATAAAAGCTATAAGAGTAGCTTCAAAACGTCAGTCAAATAAGAAAATACAAATTCAACCAACGCGACGCACGCGTGTCCAATTTTGCTTCTTCCTCATCTTCTTCTTCGTTCTTCATACATACGTACAAATAACACACATCCGTACACATGTTTATTTATGTGTGGGTGTTGTATGTGCGTTTCTTGTGCATTTTATTTGATTTGTTGCTCATCTCTTATCTTTAAGATCTCAAGCTCTCAATGTTCTCAGCGGCCAATGGCAAAATCAAGGTAAAAACTGGCAGTTTTTAAGTTTGGATCTCTTAAAAGGGCCACAACTTTTTAACTACATATATATTTACAAAAAAAAATTAAAAACAACTTTAATTCAGCAGTGTATTATGCGGATTCTTTGGCTTGATAAATAGTGGTGCCGTATTATTAAATTTATATTTTTTTTAGTGTTCTAAAATAAGTTTATAAACCTGTGCCGTATTTACAGTTACCCCCCGAGGATGCGGTGTTGGTGACTTCTCCGCTCCGTTGTCTTTTAAATGGTCCATTTCGAGATCTACACTTCAACGTCAGCGATAATCGCATAATTCCCGTTCACGATGTCGTTTTTCTTGACGATTTCGAACGCAACGTGAAACCTTTGATCTACCGCCCCGTGACGTCAGAGGTGGTTGTCACAGGCACTGCCGACGTCGACGTCAACGCAACGCCGGCTGAGGAGCAGCAGCGCAGCTTCATTCCAATCAGCAGCAGGTGAGTCAGATAAGTGCGAAAGAGATAGCAATCGATTGATCTTGGCCTTGAACTTGTTTCCATTTTGTTTGCCCCATTGCCAATTGGGAGAGAAAGAGGGAGACTGAGAGAGAAAGAGCAAGAGAGTGAGTGGGGGTGTGAACTAATTAGAATTTGTGAATGGAGATTTCATCATGGATGATTCGATTTTATTATATATTCCCATTAACGATTTCAATTTAATGTTTGGAATTGAACTATCAATTAATTAGAGATGGCTTGACAAATTGAATTAAATTGATGTCTATCGAGTGTTCATTGTCTTGGCATCTGTAGTAATTTGTCTTGTTTAACGCTCGTTTTTGAAAGTGTTTGCTTTAGAGCTCTGATAAGTAAGGAACATATTGTGCTGATAAGAATGAGGGCGCCTCAGATGCGTTGAGACATAATTATTATTGTCGTCAAAAGTGTGCAAAACTTGTGAATCTTTTTTATATTTTTCCTATTTGTTTAGGGGTAAACTCCGTAAAATATATGCTGATATAAATGTATATTTAAATCAATTTATGTTGATATTAAATAATCAATTTTTGAATCCGCAACAAGCTAATCCTTAAAAGGAACGAAACAACTTTAAACCCACAAAAATAAAACGTTGCGTTCGCCAAAATACAAAGTATTTTATTAATCGTTAAACGACCTCCCCCGCAAAGTTCAACGTTTTGTTGCTGCTTTGGATTTATAGTCATGACCCGCACTGTCCGCTCTTATCAAAAAATCGTTATGCGTGTTTATTTACCTACTGTTTGTTTCTTTTATTTTTATACCTTTTTTTGTTGCCGCGTTTTACGAGTGTTTTGTTTGCTGGTTTTGGTGTTTGACTCCATTTCACCTAATTGTTTGGCATTTCTATTGGCGCTTAACACACAACTTGCCTTTGCTATGATTATTGTTTTTTTTTTTCTTTTCTGCTACCTCATTTTTGGCTGCCAACGCAGGTTAATATTAATTCTTTATTTATTCTGCATTTGGAATTCGCCGCCCCATTAAACGTTGATAACTAAAGTCAGCATTTTGGCGGTCATTCAACTGTTTAGAATCAGTTAATAAAATTATATAAACTCACTTGCGATGCCCCTATTAAAAAACCGTTTTAATTAGGTACACTTCTTAACTATAAATAGTTTAAATTTACAGTCATTGATATAGCGTGCTTTTCCTGTTTCTTCCGCATTATCTTTTGTCGATTCTTTCAGAGATTTTTATTGTGTGCCATTGAAGGTTGTCTGAGTTGACACCTTTTTTTCGGAAGTGTGTGGTGTCTTGTGGTTCTTTTATATAGTGTAGATATTTTTTCTTTATTTTATTGCCACGCTGACCGTCGCCGGCTGTTCTCGTCACAGTCGCCGGCATAAGTTTCGTGCCCTTGGCATTGACCGTTGTCCACACGCTTCGAAAATATCCAACCATATTCAACCGACCATCCATCCAACCAACCATTCATTCATTCATCACCAACCGACTTTATTTTTTTTTTGGCGTTCGACACACTCGTTTTTCCCGTCCGTCTGGCGCATTATCAAAATACATACAAAAATTCAAATTGTCGTTAGTGCAACGACTTCAATTAATGTACATTAAAGTAATTGGCAATGTGACCCCTGGACTGAAATTTTCGGTTGTGAATACGCCAAGCCTTTGGGAAATAATTGAACATCGAAATTTTGCACTTTTGCACAAAACAATGTTAAATGAAAAGATTTATTACTAGTCGACAAGCAGATTTTGAGGTCATTTAATGCATTGCAAATGGAGGTAATCAGGTGTTTTAATGATAACTTTAGCACTTTGTCTTACTAACAGATTTATGGCAGCATTAAACGACAAAAAAAAGGTTGATTATATGGTAAATTTATAAAATATTAGTTGTGTTCTTTGGCGTACTAGTGGAATTTAATGATTTTGCAACTCTTTCTGTTTTTTTTTTCGCATTGTTTACTTTACAAAATTATTAAAAACAAATGTTGGGATAAATGCATAAACAGTTTTTGATATTCCCTGCCGGTTTTGGCCACGAAACCGTTCCAGAAGCTCCGCGGCATTGAAATGGCTCATTAAATCGGTCTCGTTGCGGGCTTAGCTCATTTAATTTTTTATGGTTTTATGGGCTGGGTGCAAAAAAAAAAAAAAAAAGAAAAAATGGGCAAGATGGTGGAAAAAGCGAGAGGAACTGACGGAAGCGCAGCCAAGCGGCAAAGCCAGCCAATAATTGTCAATAATTTCGCTACTGCCAACTAATAATTTGAATGTTCCTAACGAAATCACGAGAGAAAATCAATAAATTAAATTCGATTCAGAATTAAAGCTGAGGCAAGCTGAATATCTTAAAGTATATATATTTTGTACAATTATACAAAATATTTATATATACGACAAGGTTTTAAATTCAACACAGGACTCTTTCTTGACTTTTTCTTACAAAAATAAAGTCACAGTCATTAAATAGCCAATCAATTCATCGAACTGCCATTACAGCAAATAGTTTTAATCACAATTTAAGTAATGCGAGCACTTGATTACCTCAATTGAGTAAGGCATTTCCTGCGGACGTGGCGAATTCGGATGTCACCCAACCACCTGACCAATCCCCCTCCTTCTCCTTTCCCCTTCCCCTTCCCCCTCTCACCTTCCCACCTTCTCCTCAGTTTTCATTTATCAAAGGTGAGCAGCACGTGCGAAGGGCTTCCTTCCTATCGTTACAATGTTGCCCCCGAAAATCGCTGACCCATTTCAGCATTATTTGCTTTTCTTCTGGCCATCGTTGTTCTTGTTGCCTTTTGCAGGGAGAATTGTGGAAAGAACGAACCGAATCCACAGTGTTCTTGGAATGACCGTCGTAGAAATACCCCGTACTTACACATTTTGAGGTGGTATGGATTTCCCAAGCACTTTAGAACGCTAAAAGATTTAAAGTTCTATTATTGTTAGAAAGTTACCACCTTTGCGTAGAACTCTTTAAATGGAATTTGCGAAATATGTTTGTTCACTCATGATAATTATTCCTGGGAACTTAAGATCATATTGAGAATCCAATTATTTTGGAATCTTTATAAATATTAAATTCTATTTTATGTATTTTTTGAAACAGAAGAGAATGACAATTTGCCCTTCATTTGTTTGGGCCAATTAAAATATAAAATATATTTTATAGGAGAATGTGCTTACTATTA